ATATGTATATGTATGTATGTATATATATATATATATATATATATATATATATATATATATAGATAGCCATCAGGTCTGGTTCACTTTGCAGCTTATTGAATTCAAGAACTGACAGCAAGGGACTTTCTGACCAATATGCAAAACACATGTTTTTTTTATTTGATGTGATAGACTGGAGTCGTGTGGATTACTGTGATGTTTTTATCAGCTGTTTGAACTCTCATTCTGATGGCACCCATCAAGGATCCAATGGTGAACAAGCGTTATAATGCTAAATTTCTACAAATCTATTCAGAAAAAGTAACAAATTTACCCACATCTTGGATGGCCTGAGGGTGAGTACATTTTCAGCATATTTTCATTTTTAGGTGAACAGTTTAAGTCACTTAAAAGTATTCACCATGCCTTGGGGAAGTTTGTTAACGGCGCTCTGGAATACTTGACCAGTATAATATGCTAATTTACACACATTAAATGTGGGGAAAAAAAATTTGGTTTAGCTCAACGTAAGAACTGGGTGAGCAATTCCTAACACCCACATATATATAAACTGTTCAACTTAAACTTCTTTGGTATTTCCTGTGTCACAACAATGATGATATCATACACAGACCTCTTGTTTCTCAGAGATGACTTCCTGGGATCCATCGATTCTCATAGCTCTGTTTATTTGTTTCTTTCATTTTTCCAGGGAGGACATAGGAGATAATAATGACTGACTGATGTTTAGATATGCTATATGAGTAAGTGCAATCATCCCATCACTAGCTACAAGTTCCCTTTTAGAAATGTGAGCGTTTTGAAATTGATGCATCACAGGAAATGTCATGCATCTATGCAATACAACGATTAGACGATTGAATGTAAAGACAAGCAGCAGATTATGCTAGATGATTATGATATATTGCAAATAAAGGTTGAGGGTTTATGAGGCCCAATTAGTGGACTATTTTCTGACCCTTCATGTCTTCTGTTTTTTATGCATACATTGTCACCACATTTTGATGTCTTCCCATAGCAGAGTGTTTGTAGATTCCCGCCCCCCCCTAATTCATCAAGTAAGTTTTAGTTGTTAGCTTAGATAAATTAAATTTAGACACAAATGTGAACATACATTTTAAAACGCTGCTATATTTAACATGTAATAAATACAGTGAGATATAACGTATAAAATGTAACCTAATAACATGTTGACTTTTAGTTTTTTTGATCAATGACTTTTGATCGAAGGAAATAGAAAATAGAAGTTCTTCAGATACGTCTACTTTCTGTGGAAGTGTGGGTGAGAGGAAACAGGCCAGTCTGTGGGTGTGATTTTGCCACTAATATCTGTCACACCACATCGCAGATGATTAAAATACTTGATATAAGGAAGATCACAGAAATGGCCAAAAGGTCAAATGTCAAAGAAATCTGTAAGTAGCAAAAATTAAATAAACGTTCAGGGTCGGTAAGGTTTTTCTTTTTGGAGAATTCAGCAAGGATCCATTCAGTTGATCTAAAGTGACAGTAAGGCCATGTCACAAAAGATTTCAAGATTCCAAAGAGATGCTGTTCATCGAATGATTAAAGAAACTCTATCCATCATCAAAGAATCCTGAATCCTAAAGTGACCAATTATGTTTCCATTAGGTCAGTAGAGAGTATTGAGGCTTATATTTCACCATTTGTTGATCTACAGGTGTACAAACCACATCAATATGTGAAAGCAGATCAGGAGTAAGTACAGTAGATCACTCATTTAGACATAAACTTTTCTGCATTCTAAACTAAAATCAATTCCTGTCCTGACCAATCTAGTCAACTGAACCCAGCTGGATATAGAAACAGACAGAATATATCAAACTAGCATCAAACTCACTTGATACTCTCAACGTCACATAGGTAAACATATAAATATTTTGTCACATGTGATGTGCAACATCTGATCTGATTGGCTTTGGAATTATGAGCAAAGACATATAAAGGTGCAAACCACAGCCATGGTTGGTAGTGACAAATAAAGTTCAGCAGTTCAATATTAAGCTCTTCACTAACAGCATCAGATAACCATAGAAATATTTACTCATATAGAGATGGGACTTGAATAGTAAAAGTGCTAATATCTATCTTTAATAGTTAAAGTTTCCTGTACCCTCTCCAACCCAACTCGATCCTAGTTTCAAAAGAAGAGAGCATGTTAACGACAGCCATAAAGTGCCATTCTCTTCCTTTCACAGTATCACGTTACAAAGCACCTTCTGCAAATTTAGGAGTCTATACGAGGCTCAGGGCGGTGAGGGCAAGGGTTAGAGCTGACACCACATCTGAATGGTAAAATCCCTGCAGTTGGTTGTAAGCAAGCAAAAAAAAAAACTACTGTACAAGAAAAACGGTTCCTTTTTGAAACACTGACAGCAGGCTAGTATAGGTTCCTCTGAGAAATCACTTAATGTTACTAGTTCATTCAGGGTCTGAAGATGCACCTAAAGAAGTGATGTGTTGTTTCCGAAGATGCTAAGTTAATTTAGAAGTGAACAATACTGACCTCCATCTCTGAGATACGAATCCTATGATCAATAAGTTCTTAAATCCCATTCAAAAGTCCATGTAGAACTGACAGATAGAGTAAAGCATCTGTACTTCTGTTTGCTATATTTCTATGTTCTCTGGTCTTCTTGTTGCTCTGTGTCACACACACACACACATTGCCCAAATAAACCCAGAGTCCAGACACTTCACAATAAGGGGCGGGGAGTGCAGCATTCACTCATGACATGTGTCTTGCTCTCATGCACGTAAGCCAATCCGAATCCCCTTTAACAACTGCTGCTGCACCTCCTCCAACTTCTACGAAATTGTGAGAGAATATCTGTGCGTCTGATTTTAAAAAGCAGAAGTTATTCAGACTGAATGTAGGTTCTTTTCCAAAAGAAAGACACAGTCTTTTCAGTATTATTGTTACTTTACTTCCACTATTTGTTTTACAAATCTATTTTAATTTTCGCCTGCTCACACAAGCTGATTTACTGTTTCAACGGGACAGATTCTTCAGTGGACAAACTTTGTTGTCAGGACAATAGATGGAGCCCCTGTAAAGGGCTGGTGGGGGTGGGACACCAATGATATACAACAGGGGTTCTCAACTTGTGGGTCGTGACGCAAAAATGGGTCACAGCTCTGTTCTGATTAGGTTGTGGAGAGCACTGAATAAAACATGTTACAACATGTTAGATGCAAATAATAAAATACAAATAATATAATAACTGTGTAAAGTTACACTTCCATCTGTCATTTTTGATGTCAAAGCACTCCATCACACTCTACACCAGTGTTTCTTAACCGGGGGTACGCATACCCCTAGTGGTCTGTCACATAATTGCAGGGGGTCCGTAGAATCATTAAAAAATTTGTTTTATTATTCTAACCATGAACTGATATATATATATATTGTAAGAGCACAGTAAACACAGTAGTTGGACCTAGATACTCTAAAGCAGTGTTTCTCAACCAGGGGTACGCGTACCCCTAGTGGTCCGTCACGTAATTGCATGGGGTCCGTAGAATCATTACAAAAATGTTTTTTTAATTATTATAACCATGAACTGATATATACATGCATGTTTTTTATATATATATCTGTTCTAGATTCAATATAAACACTATGCTTTGGCAATACATTGTAACAATTGTCATGCCAGTAAAGCACAAATTGAATTAAATTGAATTGAGAGAGAGAGAGACAGGTGACAGCGTCAGCAGAACTAAGGGTGTGTGAATACCTGGGTCTGTCTTTCTTCAGGTCAACTCATATAATCATGAAAAAATCAGTTTGCCATCAGTTGTGAGAAGATGAAAGCGATATCTGTGTCATTGTATCCTTTCAGTATTTAAGGGGATTTCCCACGACTTTCGTCAGCGCTGTTCAGTGCACTGAATCAATGGCATTGTTCTCTATGAAGTGAAATATCATCTTCACTGTAACCCATGTGATGCGTTGATTGTTGATTGAGACTTGTAAACTGGCACTCAAAGTAAATTAATGTCAACACCTTGTTTCATTCATGAATGAATCAGCGTTTTTAAGTGCATCCGTTGAATGAATGTTTTTTTAATGATGACTCACTCGTAAAGTCAGTCCATTGCCGCCACCTGCTGGTGTAACAATGCCTGACAGCCCAGCGCTGATACTGAAACATCACTATATAGTCAGTGGCATAAAATGGTCATAAAATGACAATAACATTGTTTCTCGCAATTATTTCTATGGCAATATATCGCTAAATAAAAAAAATAGTTAACAAGACCAGCCTACGGACAGGTGGCTTGATAGGCCATCTATCAGCGGACCTGACACCAGAAGAGCGAAGAAAAATGGACAACACAAAAACACGTCAATATCAATGGGGGGGCGGGGGTCCATGAGGTTGGTTTGAGATATTATGGGGGTCCAGTACTCAAAAAAGGTTGAGAACCACTGCTCTACACCATTATGAACCAATTCATTCACCTGTAAAATAAAATAAAATATTACCAAAGCTACTTTTAAAATGGGTTTACTTGCACTGGGAATAAACATAATTTGTGTCAACTGCAATGTTTTTTTGTTTTTTTTGCCGTTTTGGCTGCAAAATTATTAGCTTAATTACCGATCATGAAATCACTGAGACATTTAGAAGCTATGATATGTCATTTCTGAGTCTATGCCATGTACATTTGGATCATTTTGGGCCTATGTAGTTCATGGAAATATTAATAAACATCCATGTTTTTAAGGAAATTTGGTATGAAAATCAAACACACATGTATGTTTTTAAAACATCAAAACATAAAATAATAATATATACATGCTTTATATATTTTTTGGTATATTTGAAAATATAGGCCCTACATATATATGAGCAATCCATCCTAAAAGTTGCTAGGCAATGCAGTCTAAAGTACAAAGGCAGTGCTCTGAAATACAGCATTGAAGTTACACATATTTTAACGTGATGAGATTTTGCCCTCAGCCAAAACTATTTGCTCTGGAAAAAATAACAGATTAATGAGACCAAAGACTACACACTAGATTTAGTGGCAAATTCCAGAAGATCTGGCCGAGTTGAGGCTGCCCTCGGTGGGTTTATGAGCTCTGAATGGCCGCTGACGTCCTGGAGCTCACATCTCCAAAAAACATCGAAACAAATGTTCAAATAGACTATCTTTATTAACAAACCGCATATTTTAAGTCTAAACAAGTACAGTCTCACCTTAAAAACTCTTAAAACTACATTCCGTGCTACAAAAACTGCATTATTTTTAAAATGATAGTGGACTGGAGCGTCCACCATGACACTCAAGAAGAAATACCGCAAACGGTGAAACCATAGACTGTATAAAAACAGGGTGAAACAGTTGTTGGAGGTCTGTTATCAGATTTGAGGACCAGAAATATCTCTCTCTCTCTCTCTCTATATATATATACTGTATACACACGTATACATGCATACATATATATATATATATACAGTATATATATATATAATTTTAATGCTATAATTTCCAGTTGTGGTCTGGTAGAAGCTGTGGATACTCTGGACAAACATTACAACTCTGTAATTACTTGTTACACCTATTACATGTGTAAACTTTTCTTTTGTGAAGCCAGTGAGCTCATTTGACCTTCCCTAAAACCAAACGAATAAATACGGATCTGTCACACAGTAAACACGCTAGCCACACTTGCTGTGAATGTAGCTTTGTACTAGCACTATTAAGAGCCTGACCAGTGCAAGAAAAGGAGGATCTTGAAACCGTATGAGGAATTACCCTTCTGCGTCAAATATTTAGACAAACTTGAGGCAATTTAGCCTCGAAAAAGATTGCTGCTAAAAGCAATTCTTGCTCAAAGGGAAAATCTCTATTTTTTAAATGTTACAAACTCATCATTACCTTAACATTTGACATTACTGAAGAAACTCCAAAAGTGCCAGCACAGATTTTAAATGTACGTAAGTTACGTTCCACAGTACTGTGACTACTAATGCAGAGGTCAACTGTTTGTATTGCAGTTTGTAGCAATTGCAGACCAGGTTTTCAGTAACGGTCCACCACACACATTAACATGAGGATGTTGCTGGGTCACATGTCTGAATCTCCAGGGGATTCTACAGAACAACTCTGCAAGCAGTGGTTGGTTGCGGTGTCTGTAAATGACTAATGTGCCATTTCGTCTATATGTGGCAGTGCTGGTGGTCACTGTTTCCTTTCAATACATCTCTTTCTGTGAGAGCTTTACTTCAACCATTAGCCACAAATAATGAAAAAAAGAAGAAAAAAAGAAGAAACAAAACCCACACTGAATTTACACGAAGTTGTTGAGAACCATCTATCCAAAACTGATTGCAGGATAGATGCTTCTCAACAAACCAAACGAAGACTGCAAATACATATTTGAAAAAGCTTTGAGGAAGGAAATAATGCTGATTATTTTGATAAATGTCATACCATCACAATGCAAAGGCATTGTGGGTAGTCAAAAAGCCCACTCTCAAATATCTAGCTAGGTCCTAAATATGGCTGTGGCTCCTCTTTCAATTGTAAAATATTGCTCAAAAGTTTGGGGTCAGCTTGATTTTTTTTTTTTTTTACAAAAATTAAGAAATACTTTAATTCCGAAAGGATGCATTAAATTGAACAAAAAGAAAATAAAGATATTTATAATGACTAAATATTTTAAATAAATGCTGTTCTGAACTTTCGGTTCTGCATAACTCTTTTCAACATTGATCATACGAATTGTTTCTTGAGCAGCAAATCGGCATATTTGAACAATTTCTGAAGGATCATGTGACACTGAGGACTGGAGTAATGATGCTGAAAAGACTTAAAATATATTAAAATTCTAAAAATGTATTTTAAATAGTAACAATATTTCACAACAACACATTTTTTTCTGTATTTTTTTAATTTTTTACAAAAATTAAGAAATACTTTAATTCCGAAAGGATGCATTAAATTGAACAAAAAGAAAATAAAGATATTTAGAATGACTAAATATTTTAAATAAATGCTGTTCTGAACTCTGTTCTGCATAACTCTTTTCAACATTGATCATACGAATTGTTTCTTGAGCAGCAAATCGGCATATTTGAACAATTTCTGAAGGATCATGTGACACTGAGGACTGGAGTAATGATGCTGAAAAGACTTAAAATATATTAAAATTCTAAAAATGTATTTTAAATAGTAACAATATTTCACAACAACACATTTTTTTCTGTATTTTTTTAATCAAACAATTGCAGCCTTCGTGAGCATGAGAGACTTTCTTCAAAAGAAAAAAAATCTTTCCCCAACTTTTTAATGGCAGTATAAGTCTAGCGGGTTTTTATTCTCAGAACTTTCTCATGGTCGAATGGTTTCAAAATGAGTTACACAAAGTTGAATGCTTAGTGTCAGGAGTTTGATAAACAGCAAGCTGCACAATGATTCAATGCCATTCAAAAACACTTCAGACGTGTAACAAGGGAAAAACAATTGAATGACACAAGAAACAATTCTCTCGGAGTCTTTTAATATAAAACAAAGAGCACAGTACACAAATCGAAATGGAAAAGAAGACATTCTAGGCACTTGCCATGACAGAATAGTACACATCTTGTTGTCAGATACACGAATAACACAAATAAAATGTTTCTAGC